AACTCTCCCCACCCACCTATCTCCCCCCATCTCTGCCCTTTTGGCCACCCTGCCAGCCCTTTGTGAGGTCACGTGAGGCCTCATGAGGCCTCCCCATCACACCGCAAGGCCTCCCCAGGGCCTCGCGCAGTCGCATGAAGGGCCAGCAGCTGCCTTGGCTGGGCATGCCTCGTCAGCAGTGAGAGGAAGAAGACAGCAACGGTCAGCTGTGGGCAGCAGGGGTGGTGGTGGCAGCGGAGCACAGGGCGGCCAAAAGGGCAGAGATGCAGGGAGATAGGTGGGGGGAGTTCAAGTGGAGACAAGCACAGCAGGGCAGGAGACGCGTGAGGCCCTTGCCTAACAGTGGTGCAGTCCCAGCCTAACAACCACAACCAGGACTACCAGAACTGTCATCACAGTCACATGATGTTTTGCCTAATGACCACTTCACTTAGTGATAGAAATTCCAGTCCCAATTAGGGTAGTTAAGCAAGGACTACCTGTATAAGCAAACTAAGAGGGTAGTGACACAATATATTTTCTTGGACATGGAAAGATAACTAGCCAGTCTCCTTGTTCAGACCTGCAGGACACTTAAACTTTACCACAGCTAGGGTTAAATTAGCTTGATTTAATACCTTCCCATCAGCCATTCTGCAAGGTGGGTATACAAGCTCCCTGATTATGTCCATGTGGCCCAGGGGCTGTAGGATCCCTTGCTAGCCATGTTTTATTGTACTGCTTGTTCTATGGCTATTTTAGAGCCCATTTTATTTAGCCTCATTTGGTAAAAATGTTCAAGTCTTACTGAATTATTTTCTATGCAGATTCTTTTTTGTGATCAGATAGATTTTATTTCCTTGGACATTGCTAAATTTCCTATGCCACCTACAAACTAGGTGTGACCTAACTGCTTCTCCTATAAGTAGAATAATGATATCTGATTGTAGTCAGTCACACTGATGAATGAAAACCCCTGTGACAAACGACTTTACCACCATGTGCACAGAGCAACAAAGACGTTATGATTCTCCTTCGATCATATATTCTAGCTGTAGTTTTTTGGCTTTAGTACTAGCAATATTATGCATTTTAGGTTCTAAGCATTGGTTTTAGAGTTAATAGTACTTTGTTAAATTATACTCCACTTACGTTTGAGAAGGTCCAGTGCTTTCTGCTTTGTGTTTCTGTTTCCTTGCCTCATTGCTCAGTGTTATGCTGGTCTTTAACCAAATGAAGAGAGGAGAACGTGTGTGGAGCTGTCTGCCAGAGGCTGCCACGTGAAGTGGCAGGTTTTCCTTTGCTGGAGGTTTTCAGGCAGAGGCTGGCTGGTTATCTGACAGAGATGTTCTAGTGGATCCCACACTGTGCAGGGGATGGACTTGATGACCGCTTATATCCCTTCTAACACTATGATTTTATCAAGAGGTACCGTTTGTCAGTCCTGCAGATGAATCTAGATGTAGGCACGAGCCAGTGGCTAGTAGCCATCAGTGTGCAGACAACTGTTTAAACTGTTCAGGGTGCCATTCTGAAGAGATGGCCCCACTTTTTCCAAGTACAAAAGTGCCCTGAAAGTTTCTTGTGCAGCTCTGAAAAACTGGCATGGAGCCTTGCTCTGTGGATCATGTGAGGCGCTGCTCTCCTCCGTAATGGTTACATGTCTAGTTGCACTGGCCAGAATCCTGTGTCCCTTGCCCCAGGCAGAGGAGCCAGCTCCCTTCTAACACCTTGGGAGGCAAAATCAGCATCCAATGGCAGCTGCATTAAGTTAAAGCCCTGTTTGGGGGAGGGGGTGTATGCTGTATGTGGCTGGAGTTCCAGGTTGGTTGGCAAGGCTCAGTTTCCCTACAGCAGGATTCTCAGCAGCCCCTGGAATTTTCTGGCTTATGTATCTGGATGGGTGCAATTCAGGGGCTGAGCTTAAGACACTAATCAAGCAACATGTCCTTACGCTAACAAGGAGCATTTGCTCTCCCAGGAACATGGAGCAAGGAAGAAGGAGAGGTGACTGCAACCGACGGGGGGGGGGGAGATGATGGGGAGGGTGCAAAGGGAAAATCAGGGAAGATGATGGAGGCAGGGAGGTAACAAGCAGTGACCTGCTCACATTATCTCTCTGTGGTCAGGGACGATGCCTGTGTTGTGGGAAGCCTTGAGGGTGCCTCTGCTGCTGTCTCATCCTAGAGAAAGATGCAAAGGAACGGGGAAGGTAGGGAAACCAAACCCGTGGGTAGATCAGGACCACTTGCCAAAGCCGGGGGAGGTGGGGTCTGTTTAGTGTGGGGCTGCTCAGTGGCCAGGACCATGTTGTGCAGGCTGCAGCATCCCTCCCAGACGTGGGCTAAGCAACAGCCAGCTGCAGCGCCCAGGAACGGACCAGCTGCCACCGGCAACTGGGCAGCTACTTGGGGCAGGGGTAGCGGGCTCCTCCGTTGGCACCAGCTGGCTTCAGAGCACGTCTCGCAGGAAGAATCACCTCCTTCATGAGAGACATGAACTGGCCAGGGCTACATGTGTTTGCGGAATGTACCGTGGAGGTTCGCGGGTTTTTTAAGGAAAGAGAGCCTACGAATTGCGGCTCTCGGTTGTAATGTAAAGGGGCAGCAGAGAACCACCATTTCTGGCTTTTTATGGTTGATGAGATTTCTCTTCTTCCTACGAGGGATTCAGAGGCTTTTCACCTGAAGCGAGGCGTTAGGCGTGCTCAGTCTGGGGCTGCACCACACTCGGTGTTACAGGCTGGGCTCCTCTTTCTCCAGGCCAGGCGAGGCCAAGCAAGCAGCACGTGACAGGAGCGTTCTTGCGTCTGTCCCGGATTCAGGTTCGGGGAAAAACGTCTACAATGTTGTAAAAAGCACCCAAATGGGAGGGATAACAAATGTAACTATTCAAAGGAAGGTAGCGCCATTAAAAGTGTTTCCATGTTTACATCCACATGTTTTGGGAATGTAATGAACTTGAATCTGGCCAGATGCAAAGTTTCCCTCTGATCCCCAGCGTATAAATATCAAGGAGAACAAATTGCCTATGGACGCAGGCTTCGTAGGGACAAGTATAATGAAACAGGGGACTCATTTATACAAAATACACTGGGTTAAAAAAAAAAAACAGGATAGTCATATAACTCTATTAGAAACATATATGTACTTGAATAATATTTGTATTAGATAAGCATATATAGAATTGGAACTGGGTGCTATTATAATGATATATTAACACTTTTTTGTTGTGCTTTTTCTTTTTTATGTCAAAGCATTTTTATGTATTTTTTTTCCTTTTTTTGTAATTAAAAAAAATAATAATTAAAAAAAAGTAGAACAAAGCTCAGCCAGAAAGCTGCCACAGGTCTCCTGCTCTTCTGCAACTATCATGTGGATGACGCATGCTACCTCATACCTACGGCCAATCATCCAGTGGGAAGAAAGGAAACATGCTTCTTTAAAAGCGGAACAATTAAAGAAGACCTTAAGCTGGGTTACTCTGGGCTCTGGATGAGACAAAGGCAACATAAAGAAGAAATGCCGTTAAAAAAAAGTGAACGGGGTGCGTTCACGCTCAGGTTTTGGGGATGTGAGGACAAGCTCTCTGTTCCCTAAAATTAGACTGATAGAAAGGTAGAGTAGAAGGCAGCTTTGAATCCCAGCCCGTTCAGTGCGGAAACGCACGTTAAGGCCGTGCCCCACGGATGGCAGCCTCTAGCCTCCCCAGGAACACTGTCCCACTCTCCACACTGCCCCTGCACGCAAAGGGCTGTTTTCTGCTGCTGAAGACCGCTGTCCCTGCCCTGAATTCGGGGACAATAGCGATGCAGCCTCGACCCCCTTCTGTGTGAAACCCCTTCCGGTGTGCAGCAAGCGCTACCACGTCCTGCCGGGCTCTTCTCTTCCCTGGGGCTGAAGGCATCCCGCCCTGCTTCCTTTTCTTAGCATGCAGTGCCTGGTTCCCTGATAATCCCGTCTGTTTCCATTTTTCTTCATCTTTCTTAAAAACACAGTGCCCGGAACTGGACACAGTACTTGAGGTAGGAACTGACAAATGCAGAAGGTAGTGGAACTTTTATTTCGTGTGGTTTGGAAGCCATAGTTCTGCTGGTACAGCCAAAAACTTCATTTGACTTTTAGTAGCCACATCACTTGTTGCTGGTTCAGATTTAGTTTGTGGTCCACGACAGTTCTTAGATACTTTTCATATGTACCCAGGTAGCCCTCAGGTCTTCCTAACAGCCTGCTGGAATCCATATCCCCTCCTCAAAAAATATTAAGCCCCAGTGGGAGTAGCCGAGCTGCTCTGCCTTTTCCTGGTTATCCTTGTATTTTTGTCACCTTCAGTGCTAAACTATACCATCTCTTTCCTTGATGGCTGGGTCACACAACTACCTTTTTTGATTTTCAGCTTTGCGTGTTCCCATTGCCTCAGGGGTTTAGTCCAGTCCAGGCTCGTTGGCAGCTATCTGCCACCATTATCCATAGTGGTTTGGCCACCCATAACAAGTATCTTCCTCTAGTTTTGTGCCAGGCGAGCTCTGTGCCCATCTCCTATGCAACTGGTGATCATGGCATAGATTCTAAAGAGTTCTGTGCTACAAAGGAACACAATCAGAACTGAATAGTTCTTATGGGTGGTTAAAAGTCACACGCCAATACAATTGCACTCACTTATCCCCCTTATGTGGACCACACATTTTTCTAAGCCAGGAACAGGAAATGGAAAGGAATCCCTTAGCTTGGTTTAACTCAAAACTTTATCCAGGCCAGCTGAACTGCAGTTGTCCTGTACAAATTGAAATAACCATTTTGAGCTCAATTTGTAACTCATACATTTTGGCCACAAACTATTACAGTATTGCCACAAACCCACTGATTATAAGAAAACCACAGCTTTTTATTTCTAGCTTTTAATTGAAGTTCAGAAGCCATTTTGGAATGCCCCTAAGGGTGAATTTGGAAACAATACAAATAATTCAAACCCAGATTGTTTATTTTACTAAAGCACTGGGAAAATATGTTGATAATGTTAAGTACAATAAACACTACATACACCCCACACAAAAGCCAGCTTTCTCCTCATTTTACTAGAACCTAGGAGGCAGAGTTCAGTTTGAATGCTCTGTTCTGGACTCACCTCAACCCGTAAAGAACAGTCCCATCTGGGTGAAGCCGGATCATCCGATTCTTGACTGTCACCCCATGCAGGAAGGACTTCTTGTCATTCAGGAAGTAAGTGTCAGGGAGCCACAGCTGGTCAGCTACCCGATTATCCAGGGTGAGATTCAGAGCTAGATCACTATATGCTAGGCGCTTATCTCGCCAACTTTGCTGGAAATACATGGTGATGGTATAGTCCTGGCAACACAAGTGGAGAAGTCATGGGTTAAATGTCAGAAGAATGGCCCACCTGCCTTTTCTATGCAGTAGCACTGAGAATATCAGGGCATCTGATGGGAACTGGATTCTCTGAGAAAGATGCCTTTGAAGCAGACCCCAGAGAGACCCTGGACCAGTTAAACCTAGAAGAACAGCTGTTGAGTCAGATGGTCAAGGCCTCATGATCATCACCCGCCAGATGAATGTGGAGCAGGAGATAGCAATGCAATTAATTGTGGGGAAAGGGGGCTGGGGAGGTTGTTACATTTCACACAGGGCACTTAACTCGATCACTGAATTAACCTGTCATCTGTAATGAAGTTCCCCAGAAATCCAGGTGGCTCCAGAGAGACTTAAGATGGTGTCTCAGAAAGCCTTAAAGGCCTGGCTGTCCTCCCAGGCCTTGGGCTAGGGTGGCTGGAGACCCTTGCCAGTAGTGTTTGTGTACAGTAGTTGGCTGGGTTCACCTCTGGTTTATCTTGTTCTTTGTTTGTTTTTTATTCATCTCAGATTTTATCCTGCTTGCTACATTGTGAGCTGCGCAGTCAGTTTGGAATCGGAAGGCACCTAAATCAAATGAATAAAAAATAAAAATAAAATGATAACCTTTATTCTGAGGTCATAAATGTATTAAATAGACAGCTGGCTCTGACAACCTATGAGCCATAACACACAGCCTGCAAGTCCTGCTATGTGGCCTCGTCGCAACAGGGAGATGTTCCTAGGAGGGGTGAATGAAGAACGCTGGGAGCTGATGCCAAAAATATATACTCCAAGCAGGGTCAGCCAAGGTGTGAAGATCATCCCAGATGCCCAACTAAACCAAGCAGGCATCAGTGATATGAAGACCAAGCAAATGACAAAGGTCCAGCAACCAGCCTTGGAACTGACAACGAAGACGGTGACGTCGTGGATAGCTCTGCCTTTTAAGATCGACTATCAACAGTAAAGGAACCACCAGTCAAGAAATACGCCGCAGACTAGCATTTGGTAGGACAGCCATGAAGGCCTTGGGAAAGATATGCAGAGGTAAGGATCCCTATTCAGGGAGTCCCCAGGTTAAGAATGCCTAGGTTATAGACAGCCCATAGTTAAGAACGGAGCCTATGGTAGCAAAATTTGAGTTAAAGACAATAGTTCAGGTTCATTACATAATACTACTTATACCTGACCTTATACTTATACTCTGTCCTTAAGATGAATTTGTATGTAAGCCAGAACAATGTTATTGTAAAATACTGTTCCGGCTTACATACAAATTCGACTTAAGGGCAGACCTTGGGAACAGAACTCATTCTTAAACTGGAGACTACCTGTATACCTACAAAGATCTGAATTGTGCAGATAATTGTTTTCCCTGTGACACTCTATAGAAGGAAAAGTTGGACTTTGAAGAATTAGGATAAAAAGACATTGGTGTTTTTGAACTTAGGTGTTGGAGAAAACTCTTGAGGATGCCATGGATAGCCAAAAACAAACAGATCATAAAACAAATTAATCCAGAATTCTCAAGCCACAAATAACCACAAATTATCATATTCTGGACATATACAAAGACCTAGCTCCTTTGAAAAGACCATAAGAAGACCAGGAAGGAAGCAAGCAAGCAAGCAGCAGCAGGTGGATGGATTACAGCAGCAATGGGTGCATGTTGGAAGACCTGAAGGACCAGGTTGGAGACTGTTCATACTGAAGAAAGTATGTGCTTGCTAAGAGTTGACACCAACTTGATGGAACGTAACCAAGCAAACCTGCCCTGAGAGA